GGGCAAACCAGACAATCACACAATTGCAAAATATACTAAAAATAGTAAAATAGTATTTACAAGCCTAATATTGATTCTAAGGGAAATACTATATCTACCCCATATACCCCATAGGTCCCATACTCCAATTCAATCTAGAAACCCAAAAATAAAATGTTCAAGTGCACCTATGTTGTGTATAAACCCTAATCTAACAATCCTAATATCATCTAATCAAAACCAATCAAAACCTAATTATAAAATCATGGAATAAATCCAGGGGGGAGCTCAAGTTTATATCTAATTACTCTAAAAATAATAGCACTAAAATGTAAAGGGAGCTAGCTAAACAAAAATCTACAAAATTATGTACAAACTAAATTCAATAAAAAAACAACTAAATGTAAAATATTCACAAAAAATAAAGAAAATACCTAAACTAATATTTTTATTTATTCACAATTTTCTTGAAACCATTATTAAAGTGTTGCATAAACTCCCATGTCAAAATACTTCTTTTTTAATTTTATATGATTTTTCAAAATTGTAAAATAAAATGAACAAAAATGAATTAAAAAAGAGAAAATACTGGTGCAGATAGCAAAAAATTAAGACACGTGAATCAACTGGGCCCAACTGGGGGGTGCGCGTATCAAAGCGCCTTGGGCCCAAATATATGTCAGAAAATAAAAAGGAAAATCAAAGAAAAAAAAGAAAACAAAACGGTGCAAATAGCAGCCAAAACGCGTGCAATATTGGATGGGCCATGAAAGGGGGGTGTCAACAACACAAATCAACTTAAGCCCAATGCTTCTATTAAATGAAACGATGCGTTTCAGCATCAGCAAGCCCCTTCACAAATTGAAACACAATCAGAGCCACACGATGGGCATTCAGTCAACATTTCCACCATGATCCAAGGGTCTAAAACTCGTCTTCTTCATTTGAATGAAAATTGGAGCCAAACTCCATTGATGAACAAGCAAGAACAACCTCTGATCTACACACGAACTCCATCAATCCTTGATCAAAAATCAAATTGTAAAGCCCTAACATGCTCTATTTTTCACCCTGATTCCATCTATGACATCATCATCAATTTATATCATCTCTAACAGCAAACACGATTCCATCTCCAAAATTGATCAGAAATTCAATATTCACCATTCATCAAATTAAGTGTCCTAATTTCTTCATCACCTAATACTGATCAAATAATGCTATAGAACTCACCCTAATCCTCAATATCCACTCAGTTCTTGATCCAAACAGAAAGTGTGCTGCTATGTGAATCATCACCAATTCCTCTCAAACTCTCCAGAAAGTTTCTCCTAACCACATACTAACACTCTAACTTAACAAATCAACCTAATTATGCCTAAATCGAGCCATAATTTGAAACTTACTAACCTGATGAAATGAGGTAAACAGATGGTGAAATCCTCCAAATCAATGCTTGTACTGCTTCAAATTCCTTCAGTATGATGCTTGCTTGCTTCTGTATGCACTAGATTCTCCTCTAACAGCTTGAATTCTTGAAACAGAATTTCAGTTGCAGGTATGAAAGTTCAACTTCAAGAACTCGATTCAACCATGGATTCAACCTGATTTTGATCTCTACACACTCAGTAATGATTATTGAATTGAATTGAATCAAGAATTTGGTTTGATTGTGAAGAAAATGAAGAACTCTATGATGAATTGCAATGGAGGGAATTGAAACTCAATATTGCTTCTCTGCACCAAATGACACCCAAAACTGATTTTGGTCAACTCAAATTCATATATAGGTAGTGTAGGAAGGATCTAGAAAGTGCTGGAATGATCCTATGAGAACTTGAGTATCTCATGTCATGGTAAATCCTTTAATGAGTTTCAAAAAACCAGTTGGAGTTTGGCCTATTACAACACATGAACAAGGCTTGAATTTCTCTCTAAATGAGAATTAGAATGTGCTTGGATGGTTCCTTGCATTGTACCTTGATCCTTATGTGATTTGGCAAGTGTAGCTTCTCATATAAGTAACCAATGATAAGTCCAAGTTCTTGACCTCAAATTCAAAATCCAATGGTGTCAATGATCTCAAAACATGTTTTCCCTTCAATTTGGTATGTCACATGATGTATTTTGGCTTTGGATCAAAAAATCCCAAATTTGGTCACTTGAAAATGGACTTTTACCTTCTATATTTGGTCAATTTTATCACTTTGAGTTCCATGCATTTCCAAACCATCATGACCTCTTTCCTATATTCAAAACATCATTTTGAGAAAGTTTGATGTTGAAAATTTTTCCATTTGAAGCTTGCAAGTAGGAGTTTTAGGCATATGCTTGAAATGACCTATAATCTCACTTTCCCAAAATACCCCTGGCTTGTCAAGATCATAAGTAGAGTTCCACAAATCAGAATGAGGCACACCATACCTTTATAGAAAGATAAGATCATGGGGAACAACTTTCAGGTTCACCAAAAATCCATTTGAAAACTCCTTGTGTGGCAAAAGTTGCTTGGAAGTCAAGTAACTTTCACAGATAAATTTCAGTGTCCTCAGATGACCTGTAACTTGCAAGAACTATAACTTGAGTTCTATAAATCTCCTTGATGCCTTCCACCACTCAAATTAAAGGTCTTGAGATGCTCTACAAGTTTCATGTTGGCCAAAGATCCATTTGAGACTTGCATTTTGAATTATTCTGCTTGGAAGTTTGACCTAAATCAGGGAATCTTACACAGAAACCCTAATTTAGAAACTTCTTTTCTTCTTGATTTTTCTTGATTTCTCTTTGGCTCAACACCACATCCCTATCCACATATCCAATGATGAATCCCACATCCTTCAAATAGGCCTTGATGCCCTTCAATCAAGCATTAGACCTAGGGTTGACCTAGGGTTGACCCAGGTGAAACCCTAGTTGACTGTCTTCAACTGTAGCTCTTGCAACCACACCAATAACTTGTATTACTTTCAAAATGACCCTCTAGGTCTTCCATGATGTCTACACACATTTCATGCCTCAGTCCATAGCTCACACCCTCTATGATGATCTTCAAATACTCCCCAGATAGGCTATAAATCCACTGCTTGATCTATTAATTTCTCAAAGCTTCACCTTCTTTCTTGGTGACTTGAATAGGCTTGAATCTTGATAAGAACCTTTTGAATATACTCCTTGAGATGAAAAATAGCACTTGATCCCTTGTTGGATGACTTGCCCATGCTATGCTATGCAAATGAATGAACTATGTATATGATCTACTATGCAAATGATAAAGCTATGAAAACACAAATCAGGTAAAACAAGTTGGTCAAATTTTAGGGTGCAACAACACACTAATTAATCAATTCTCATAAAAATATCCACTTAGTATAATTACTAATGCCCAAAATACCCTCCGGCCTATTTTACTCGAAAACTCTCCAAACAGGTAAAAAAAATAGCATAACATACCAATATAACATATTAACACATAATTTCCACGTTAAAATAAATAATCATCCAATTAAATCAAAAAGGACTCAATAAAATGGGAATCGGAATCGGGGCGTTACACTGCTCGCCTAACGAGTCCTGCAATTCCTCAAAACCCTCTACTGTCCAAAATATCCAAAACTTCACAAAATCTCCCGATTCAATACCAATAAGTTCCATAGTCTTAGCCTAACATTCCTCGACTAAACTACACCATTTATCCCAGATTCTAACCGTTAAAATATCGGTTTCTATTGATTAAACCATTTCTGACCTAGAAATGGAAAATGGGGAAAAACATCCAAACAATTCAAACAACACATACATAATCATACACATTGAGAAGATAATAAGATTTCACACCCTTACCCGATTAATTGAATCCTAGAGGTTGTTCTTGATGATTCTCCAAGTTTTCCTCTTTTCTCCTCTTCTCTCTTCTTCCTCTTTCTTTCTCTTCCTTTTCTCCTCTTTCTGTTTTCTTTCTTTTTCTCCCTTCTTATATCTTTATATCTCTTTCTACTCTAATTCTTTCCATCACTTTTCTCTCAAAACATCCACTAATTCATTTTCTCACAAAATATCCAATCTTATCATTAAATAAGAAATGTCTAAAATACCCTCCAATCTATTTTCCCCCAAAACTCTCAAAATCGGTAAAATAACATAATATGCAAACATAACATATTAATACATTAATTCCACAAATGAAATAATAATCACCCAATTAAATAAAAAAGACTCAACAAAAATGGGAAATCAGAATCAGGGCGTTACATGCGAGCTCTCCCTGCACTAGGTAATGATATGCCCGACTATGGAATTACGCGTACTCGACATGAAGGAAAATTGAGCTTTGTTGGGCCTCCCCAACTTAGTGTTGGGTTGGACCTCCCCGACTGTGGGGCAGGTCTTGACCCAATTCAGAACAAAAACTAACGGATATATCATTGATTCAGATTTTTTTTAGACCAAAAACTAGTCTAAATTAAATCTAATACAAATTAATCTCTCAAATCGAAGAGAACCACGTTAAACAACAAAATAAAATAAAATAAAAGTTATATATTGAGATAACGTCAACATTACAATTTTATGAGAAAAATAAAAATAAAGTTTAATTTTTATAGAGATTAGAAAATACTTAACATGTAAGTCAAAGTAACTTCTACTTTAAAATACAATTATGAAAAAACACAAAAGTAGAAATTTTATGTTATAAAATATCACTTTTAAAATATACTAAAGATTAAAATATTAAAAAAAATAATAATAACACGTCTTTGAAAGTCCAAGTCTCCCAAATTAAGTCATTGTTCAATCACGCTCTCTCACGCGGTTTACTCCATTCTACTCTTCTATAATATAACTCCACCACGATATTCGCACGTGCGACGCAAATCGAGCACGCGTTACCAAGTCCTCTCTCTCGCTCCTTCAGACAACGATAAATCTCTACTCGTGTCTTCACACTGCACCGTTTTCTTCATCCTCCAACTCTCTCTTTCATCTCAAACCGCTCAATTCGCTGCCGTCACGCGTCGCCTGAAATGTCGGTAAGTTTCATCTCATCCTTGCTCCTATTTTGTTTATTTTGATCACACATTGCTATAACCTTGTATGATTTACCGTATTATCGATTAGATTTACTAACTTATATAGAATCTATCGTAGTTTAGTTTAGTTCAGTTTTGAAGTGGAGCACTAGATCTGACTTAGTCTTCTTCAGTTCATGTCATGTGAATTGTGGTAAATGATTCCGTGGTTTTTTCAATTTGAGAAGTTGTATTTGAATTCCGATTTTCAAAGATTGTTTAGTTTATGTGTTTGTTTTCACATCACAGTTATTGTATTAAATTATTTAGTTCATAGTAATTGATTATCTTGATATCATATCAAGCTGAAAGCAACACTTTGTTAACTTTTATTTATTGCATTTTTAGGTCAATGGAATATACGAGTTCTGATATGTTGTTGACATGTTTTTCTGTGTTATTGTGAATATCATGATACTATACAACCGAATTTGAGAGTGATTACTGAATACTGATTAGACGTGATTCCATCTTTTTCATCAAATTTGTTTGATCATTATTTTCAAATATTTGGTAGGGAAAGACATACACGCCCTCATGCATATCTAAATGCTGGAACCTGAGTTGTCTACCGCCAACAAGTTTGATGCATTTGGCACTTTTGTGATCGTTGAATTATTGGATGGTGCAGTTTTAGCTCGGGATTTTTATTTAAAAAGTTATCAAAGTCTGCATTAAAATTTGAGGTGTCTGATCTCGACCCAACGATTATGGATGTGCCAAATGCATGAATGCGTCAAATTATTGATTATTGGCAATCCGATTTCCTCTGTGCTGGCTGATCAAGTTGTGTTTTGTTAGGGATTGTTTCAGATCCTTTTATGTCTAACATTGATGTTTTCAGAGTCCTGCTGATTTTGGGTTAAGGTTTCTGCCTTTTCTGCCTCCGTCTCCGTTGTCATTTATTGATTTCTTAAACTACTTTATTTCTCTATATAGTTGTCATAAATTTTTAACTTTCTCATCCCCCTTTTTTGCCTAAGTTAGCACAATATTTCAGTTAATATGAATAGTAGTTATAAGGAGCAAATTATAAATATTAAAAAAAAATAGTGGATTAGTGGCCGACAGCTTGATACGTCATTAGGGAAGTTTCCATTCTTAGTTAGTTTGATATATCACATATGCTTTGATTTTGTCCTGAAGTGTTGGATATTGGAACAGCAGAGGTGTTTTTTCCACAAGGTTTTGAACTTTTAGTGTCACACGTATTTTCTTTGCAGGTCAAAACTATTAAAGTCAGTAATGTTTCATTGGGAGCATCTGAACAAGACCTTAAGGAGTTCTTTTCCTTTTCTGGTGATATTGAATATGTTGAAATGCAAAGGTCAGTGAGTTGCTTTGCTTGGTGGTGGTCAACTATTTTTTAGAATGCTTCAATTCTTAAGTTTTATTATACAATCATATGTTTAATATTAATGCAGCCATGATGAACGATCTCAAATTGCCTTTGTCACTTTCAAGGATCCACAAGGTGCTGAGACTGCAGTACTACTGTCGGTAATATTCCTGACATTGATTATCAGTTGATATATGTCTATCAAATATGGTTATTGATGATTTAGTAAAGTATCTCGAGCACTTGATCAATTTGTCCTAGATCGTCATTCAAAGCATCATATATTCATTATTGAGAGTTCGGGGCTTAGAACTACAACATTGTTTGTCATTATCCAAAAGGCATCACCTTTAGATGACGTATTCAACTTTTTGGCTAGATAATGCAGTATCAGTGAATCTTGTAGAAAACGGATATTTATTCGAGGATCTTGAAGTGCCACATGTTTAGAAACTCTTACTTGAGAGGGTTTCAGAAGTCTGTTTTTTGTTGAATGTCTTGCTTTCAACAAAGTAAGTATAGCAGAGATGAGGATTATGCTGCGGTGGGCGTGTGGTAAGACTCGACATGATAGACTTAGATGAAAATATTTGAGGGAGTGTCGGGTAGCGCCTATAGTGGAGAAGAGGGTGGAAAATAGACTTATGTGGTTTAGGCATGTAGAGAGAAGACCAGTAGATTCTGTAATAAGGAGGGTAGATTAGATGGAGAGAAGACAAACAATTAGAGGAACGGGAAGACCTAAAAAGAAGTTATTAAGAAAGATTTTGAGATTAATTATATGGATAGAAACATGGTCCTTGATAGACCATTATGGTGAAAGTTGATCCATATAGCCAACCCCACTTAGTAGGATAAGGCTTAGTTGTTGTTTTCGTCGTCTTGCTTTAAGCCCTTCAATGTATGGACGCTCCTCTTTTGATGGTATGTATCCTCCATTTCTCAAAAGGTGCTTCTCGTGTAATCTGTCATACTTGTTGGTTAGTCTTCAAAGTTCCCCACTATTTCCATCTTGTTTTTCACACTGTCTCCCAACATTCAATCTCAATATTTTTAGGGTTTGTTTTGTTGATGCAATCCTTTGCTTGTTTAGCTTTGACCTTGAAGGCTGCATATATGTCTCAGCTGCTTTCTTAGGCAATTAGGAATAGGTGTCATTTTTCCTATTCATTTCACATGACCAAGTTTAGTATTATGAAAGAAAGTGGTGTTGGTATTCATCTTGATGCCACTGTTAATTCATATTGATCATCTTCTGTTTCATTTTGTCAACAATAAGGGTTTTATTTCGACAACCTCCTTATGTTATATATTACCTATCTGAAATTCTGAGTTTTTGTCTGTGTTGAAATAAGAGCTGACATTATTATGAACCAACTATCCCACAAGCTTAAGCTATTGGGTGAAGACACACAAATGGTTTTATATCTGATTTGTGGTGTGCCCTTACTCAATAACACAAGCGTTCTTTGGGCTGGAAGCGTAGACAATGAGCAGACCAGCCCTAGTAGTTTGTGCTGAAATTTAATTCTTATTCAGACGAATGGGGGGAAATATAGATTGAACACTACCTTGACTAAATAGTCAAATGTGTGTACAAACCCACAGTTGAGAATAGAAAAATAAGTCGATGGATAGATCTTTGAATGATCAATAGTGAAGAATGAAATCGAACCATAAAAGAGAGAGAATTCTGTACCAGGTTTCCCTTTCGTGCAGTGTTGTCAAATATCAGCTATGGTGGATATACTATGGCCAAACTTGTGAAGGATGGTGGCTCCATATGTCGGATTTTTGGCTCTCCGCGATCGATAACGCTGCCGTCATGCAACTTTTACACTCTAAATGCCCATATCTATTGTTAGTATGCCTATTTATCGAATTGATATATCTTATAACCGACTGGCTTCTCTAGTTGTCTGTAACTGATATTCCAATCAACTATCTTCTTTGTTCTCTTCCCTCTCAACATGGAGGCTCTGATGCTGTGCTTTAAATTAGCTACCCCAAAAGCTTAAACTTTTGTTTGAAAACACTTGAATGTTTATCAATTTAACTTTATTTTCTAGTTTCCACCAATCTTATTGGGTATGTAACTCTGCCTATTTAGTTTACTTAGTTAATTTCAAGCTCAGAGAAAGAGAAGAGTTGTGTTAGGTTAGGCAGTCAATTGCCATTGTAAAATGTCGTTTAATACAGAGTTATTAATTGCTGCCGCTCCTGGCGCGATCCCGGGCGGTCCGGCCAGGGTGGTCCCCATCCGCGTGCAAACATGGAAGCGAATCGCAGTCTGAGAGAGTGGCTGATTTCGGCGAGAAAGCGGTTCGCAGGTAGCGCTGCGCTCCCTGGGCGGAGCGGTTTCAGACGGCTTTTGTTTTTTTTCTTCTCTCCGGCTGTGTTTCTCTGGTTCTATTTGAGTTGTTTTGCAGATGGAGAAGAAAGGTAATAGTGTTTCTCTTTATTTGAGGTGTAATTAAATGGACCGGGTTAAAAGGCTTTTTTACAGTACATAACTGAAATGGGCCCTAGAGGACATATCTGAGTGTTTCTCTTTATATTTGGGTATCTTAATTTTAAAAAAAAGGCATATTAGCCCCCTTAGTTGATAATATGTTAATAAAATTTAATAAAAATAATAACATTTAATAATAAAAAAAATAATAAATATATCAGAACAAATAATTAAGTGTTTCATCCATTTTTATTTTATTTATTTGATTTTTATAAAACTTTTGTGTTGCTAAATTAACATTCTTTTTAATTGTTCACCCAAAATAATTTATTTGTATAGATTATTTATATATTTAGCCCCAAAAATAGTCAATCCTAAAAAGTCAACCAAACTTATCCCGCTATTCTATTTTTGGGGTCGGCCGCTCCGCCATCCGCTAGTAATAACTCTTGTTTAATCTTTATGTGATGGACTACCAAAGTGGATCTAATTTGATTTTGATATGCATATTGTATTATTGATTCATGTGTTGTTTGATGCTGGAAAACTTACCGTTCTCTGCTTTAGATAGAAATGTCTTGATTATATAAAAAAAAGAGAGAAATGTCAGTTTTGCTACTAGAACTGTCAGAAAGTTTCCATCATCATCCGATTTCAGATTTAATTTATAAATTGAAGGGGAGCTTGAAAGAGTTTATTATTCAAGTTTACTAATGCTAATCTGTGCTTGGTTTGCATAGGTTCCTAGGCACAAGCTGTCTTATTTCTTGGTTTGTGTGGAAATTGAAAATAATAGCCTGCGGAAATATGATAGTTGCCTAAGTGCCTCTACTCTGGGATGTGTCATTTATTATTAGTTTTGGGAAGTATATTATATTTTATCATTGGTGATACTGCGAGTTTGTGACATTGTTACTTTGTTGGCAACTACTTATTCTGGTCCAATGATGTATGCACTGTCTCATGGCTCACTCATAGATACCTGTGACATCAAATTGCTCTTTTTTAATTCACATTTTTACTATATTATTTATTCCTAAAATGGCATCAAATTGGTCATGGAAGGATGCAACTGGTAGCATTACTAATACTAATCATTGAAAGACCAATTTGATTTCACTGGGAAAGGGGGGAAACAATGTGATGCAATGTATGTGTTTTGGGAACCAAATTAAGTGTCATGTTCCTTAAATGTAGAAGTTTATGTAGCCAGCAATTATATTGAAGGCTAACGGAGTTTTCAATATTTCAGGGAGCAACAATTGTTGATTTGTCGGTTAGCATAACTCTGGATTCAGATTACCGGCTTCCACCTGCTGTCTTGGCATCATCTGTAAGCCATGCATAGACCTTCTAATTAATGTACTTAATGGTATGTTTGGATGGGTGGTAGAGTGTAATGAACTCATTCCACCCTACACCATTCCAAATATACCCTTGATTAGATTATTTTTTGTCTATAACTAATATGTAACATTTTTCAGGTCACAGAGGGTAAAACTCCTGGCGGTGCTGACTCTGCTTTACGGAAGGCAGAGGATGTGGTCACCGGCATGCTTGCCAAGGGCTTTATTTTAGGGAAAGATGCTGTAAACAAAGCAAAGGGTTTTGATGAGAAGCACCAGTTAACTTCAACAGCCTCCGCAAAAGTTACCTCTTTTGACCAAAAACTTGGGCTTAGCGAGAAATTAACTGCTGGGGCTTCAGTTGTGAGTGATAGAGTTAAAGAAGTGGATCAAAAGTTTCAGGTTTCAGAAAAGACCAAATCAGCACTTGCTGCTGCAGAACAGAAAGTCAGTACCGCTGGGTCTGCTATAATGAAGAATCGGTACATACTCACCGGTACTTCTTGGGTAACTGGTGCTTTTAGTAAGGTTGCTAAGGCGGCTGGGGATGTAGGACAAAAGACGAAAGAGAAAGTGGAAAATGCAGAAGTGGAACAAAATCGAAAAGTAGAAGACCAGTATGCGCAGGTTCTTTCCGAGTCCCCAAAAGCAGCGGCAACGAGCGAACTGCACTCTTCCAAGCCCGCTCCTGCCCAGGGTTTGATCCTTTGATTTACTGCTTGTATATACATTTTTTAAAAACTCCTGCAAATTTGATTTACTTTTATAAGCATAGAGAAACTGAATTTCCCAACTTTGAAATGATATGCTTGTTATCATTGCCTCCTATTCACGATGGAGAAAAAAGATAGAGGGATGGAAGCTTTTCCAGTATACTCTTCTCGTATTGCAAATTTTATTGAGTTTTTTTACAATTAAAAATTGATAAAGAAGAAAGTTTTATTTTTATGTTAAGATAAAGAACAAATTCTACATATACTATTATAAGTGCTAAATTACTTAAAAATATCAGTGTTAGGTAAGCGTGAAAAAGCATTTGAGACATGAGTTTTGAGGCAATTACACACTTATATGGGTATTTTGGATAGAGCACAACACACATCTAGAACACCTATAGTATTGTAGATAAATTTTGCTCATACTTAATTTTTTTTTTTTCAAAACGAGTTTAATTAAGATGTATTGATTATCAGAGATACTTTGTACATTGGTATACAACGGTCAAAACTCCATGTAAAATTCTGAAATTTGACAAATTAATTTAATCATATTATTTAAATTTTTATTTAATTATTTGATATTTGGTATGCTTTGAAAAAAAATAGAAGAAATATAATAATTAAAGTTGAGGTTATTTTAGTATGGGGTGTATTGCATGATAGGGTAGACAAGAGAGGTCCTAGTATGAGTGTATTGCATGATATGATAGGGTAGACAAGAGAGGTCCTTGCTCTCAATAAAATTATATAATTTTGTTTTGGATGTGTTGTTGTGTTCAAATTTGAAATTGGTGATTGATTGTGTTGATTATTTGATTGATTGTGATTGAATTTATGCGTAAATTATCATGTTTATGCATATGTAAAATTTTGCCATTGATGAATATTTAAAGCTTTGATCATGAGTATGAATGTTGATAATATTAAGGATTTAATTGTATGAAAAATTGTCATGAATCATGATTGATATATGGATTATAAGATGTTTGATTGTTGTAATGATATGGTGTACTGTACAATTCGTATTTTAGGTTGATTGAATGTAGAAAATATAAGTTGATATGAGGGATGATGGTTAGTGAAGGAGAGGGATGGAGGTCTCGTGAAAAATTGGGTTTTCTGGAAAAATTACAGTGACCAATCGATTGATCGTAGTAAGCAATCGATTGGTTCCCTTTTAAAACAGAAAAAAAAAATTGAAAGTAGCTTTGGAATAATCGATTGGTTCCTTAGGGCGAACGATTGGTTCCTTTGAAAAATTGAAAAAAAAAGCAGACAGAGAGTTGAGGACAATCGATTGGTCTGTTGCAACAATTGATTGGTTCACTTTTTGTTTTAGCCATAACTTGAGCTACGTGACTCCAATGGAGGCGTGGTTTGAAGCGTTGTAAAGCTAATGCATAGAGCTACCTCATGGTAGTGCTTAGTGAGAAAATTAATGTGTAGACATAGGAAAGTATGTATGGAATGTATGGATAATTTCATGAATTGTTGTGTTTACTTAATGGTGAATTGATGTTAGAATGACTTAGCATGTTTGAATGGTAGGGTATTGCATGATAGGGTAGACAAGAGAGGTCCTTGTTCTCAATAAGATTATATAATTTTGTTTTGGATGTGTTGTTGTGTTCAAATCTGAAATTGGTGATTGATTGTGTTGATTATTTGATTGATTGTGACTGAATTCATGTGTAAATCATCATGTTTATGCATATGTAAATTTTTTCCATTGATGAATATTTGAAGCTTTGATCATGAGTATGATGAATGTTGATAATATTGAGGATTTAATTGTATGACAAATTGACATGAATCATGATTGATATATGGATTATAAGATGTTTGATTGTTGTAATGATATGGTGTACTGTACAATTCGTATTTTAGGTTGATTGAATGTGGAAAATATAAGTTGAAATGAGGGATGATGGTTAGTGAAGGAGAGGGATGGAGGTCTCGTGAAAAATTGAGTTTTCTGGAAAAATTACAGTGACCAATCGATTGATCGTAGTAAGCAATCAATTGGTTCCCTTTTAAAACAGAAAAAAAATTGAAAGTAGCTTTGGAACAATCGATTGGTTCCCTAGGGCGAACGATTGGTTCCTTTGAAAAATTGGAAAAAACAACGCAGACAGAGAGTTGAGGACAATCGATTGGTCTGTTACAACAATTGATTGGTTCACTTTTTGTTTTAGCCATAACTTGAGCTACATGACTCCAATGGAGGCGTGGTTTGAAGCGTTGTAAAGCTAATGCGTAGAGCTACCTCATGGTAGTGCTTAGTGAGAAAATTAATGTGTAGACATACGTTTACTGTAGGAAAGTATGTTATGGAACGTATGGATAATTTCATGAATTGTTGTGTTTACTTAATGGTGAATTGATGTTAGAATGACTTAGCATGTTTGAATGGTAGGGTATTGCATGATAGGGTAGACAAGAGAGATCCTTGTTCTCAATAAGATTATATAATTTTGTTTTGGATGTGTTGTTGTGTTCAAATATGAAATTGGTGATTGATTGTGTTGATTATTTGATTGATTGTGACTGAATTCATGTGTAAATCATCCTGTTTATGCATATGTAAAATTTTTTTTCCATTGATGGATATTTGAAGTTTTGATCATGAGTATGATGAATGTTGATAATATTGAGGATTTAATTGTATGACAAATTGACATGAATCATGATTGATATATAGATTATAAGATGTTTGATTGTTGTAATGATATGGTGTACTGTACAATTCGTATTTTAGGTTGATTGAATGTGAAAAGTATAAGTTGAAATGAGGGATGATGGTTAGTGAAGGAGAGTGATGGAGGTCTCGTGAAAAATTGAATTTTCTGGAAAAATTACAGTGACCAATCGATTGATCGTAGTAAGCAATCGATTGGTTGCATTTTAAAACTGAAAAAAAAATTGAAAGTAGCTTTAGAACAATCGATTGGTCCCCTAGAGCGAACGATTGGTTCCTTTGAAAAATTGAAAAAATCGCAAACAGAGAGTTGAGGACAATCGATTGGTCTGTTACAACAATTGATTGGTTCACTTTTTGTTTTAGCCATAACTTGAGCTACGTGACTCCAATGGAGGCGTGGTTTAAAGCTTTGTAAAGCTAATGCGTAGAGCTACCTCATGGTAGTGCTTAGTGAGAAAATTGATGTGTAGACATACGTTTACTGTAGGAAAGTATGTTATGGAATGTATGGATAATTTCATGAATTGTTGTGTTTACTTAATGGTGAATTAATGTTAGAATGGTTTAGCATGTTTGAATGTTATGTGAATACAAATTTGATGTAGTGTTGTTGTTTGGTGACATTTTTGGTGATAATCGATGTTGAAAGTCATGCATCATGGTGTATGGGCTTTGGTTCAGTTTTGGCGTGCTCTGGTCCGATAATGTGGATTCAGGAGCGAGTAGCTGGTTCTAGATGGGAATCATTGAAGCGTTACTTGTAGTGATAGTAGCGAATTGGCATGCTGGTCATACGGTGGAGATTCAAGAGTGATATGGACTCATGTTATTCATAATGGTACCACATGCTTAAGTGTCATGTTGGTTGTGAGTCGCATTGCATGCATATAATTGTATAATTATAATTGGGTGTGAATTCATGGTGATGTTTGTTGTGTATTGAATGTGTGTTATGTTACATGATTCTCTACCTTCGCATTAGGGGTGACAAAATAGGCCGCTTGCATCGCCCCACCATGCCTTAAGCCTGCCAAAAAAGGGGCGGGGTGGGGAAGCCCTCCAAGTGAAATTGAATTTAAAAATCTAGTCTGCCTCGCCAAGATGGCGGGTTGGCGGGTGGCAGGCTTGCCCGTCTATTTATTTATTTATTTATAATAAATTAATATATTTATTTTTAAATTTTAATTAGATTTTTCACTTATTTTTTAGAATAATTTTTTATAAAGCATCTTTTAACAAATTTTAACATATACTCACAAATAAATATGAAAAATAGAATCATCAACAAGTGTTCTAAAACTATAGTTCAAATATTAATATTCAACCAACAAAAATAAATATTTTGAGTGCTTGATAACTAGGCTGGCGAACTGGCGCACCAACCCGCCCCTTTTTTGGTGGGCTTAAGGCGGGGCGGGCCGAACAGGTAGGCGAGTACAAAATCCCAACCTAATCCACCATTTTCTGGCAGGTGCGCGGACCGGCTCAATGGGCCACGATTTGTTTTTCCACCCATACTTCACATTCTTTACAACTGTTCATATTGAATGTTGTTTCTCACTCATTTGCTTCATGTTGTCCACCATGAACATATTGCAGATAACCCGAAGTAAGCATTGTTGTTGTGTGTGGAAGGTGGTTTGTTGGAGCTACTCTTTATTTTCTTTATTTATCGCTTTGTTAGTGGTTTTTAGTGCTCTTATTGTGTAACATCGGGGATGAGAGTTATGCTTTTTGTTTCTATTAATGTTGATTTTTTCGTTTTAGATTTTATTACTTTATTTATGAAGTTCCTATGAAATGTTTTTCCGATGCGTAGTTTCAAATGATTTGATGTATTTTGAAGGATTGTCGTTAGTGACACCTTAAATTGTCGTGTAAATCTTTTTAAATAAGTTTTAGGGTTTAGCGTGTTATACTTTATACATGTGAAGATTAAAGGGAGCTGTCGGAGAAGTTTTGCACGTTCTACTACAAC